ACACTTGGAAGTTTCAGCCAACCCTAGCTACCATAATCCTACACGCCTCTTCCAGACAGGGCTTTAGCCATATGGGTCAGCTGAGAACAGGATCCTGCCAGCAGTCAATATAGGGAAATTGATCTAGGTGCCCAGGCCTTCCTATAATTACCCTATAAACTTCATTAACCACAGTTTTATCTAGTGACCTTTCCAGGGACCATCCTACACCAAGAGCAGGCCAATCTACTTCACAAAGGTTGTTATGAGTTAACTTAACTCCAGTCTCCATTAAATCCCTTTTTAAAGTTTTTAACTATACTCTTCAAGGGAGTGTTTTTACTCTGATTTCCACCCATCTCCTCCAGATGGCAAGACAGACACAGAGGGGGGAGAAGAGGAAAGTGGTCGTCACTTGCTTTGTCCATCTCCCGCTGCTCCCCTCACAGGGATTTAGGCGTCTCCTGGCTGTAGTGAGTCTGTATAAACCCTGGACCCAAGGCCCTGTTAGGCCTCACCCTTGACCATATGAGTTTGCCACTGATGCACAGAGTGGGACTCCTCACTCGTTTCTCTCAGGCTCACACTTTCACACACTCTCACACAGCATAGTACTTCTGCCCCACTCCCTGAACCTGAAACACATAGTTTCACCCCAAAAGGCAGTTACTAGAGGTCTCTGGGAAGTGATCAATCTCCTCTTCTGCCTCCCAAAGGCAGGCCTATTATTTGAACCTGGGTTCTTACCACTCTGACGGGAAGTGCTCCCCTCATTGGTTCCCGTACCTCAGACTTTCCGGGAGAACAAATTCTTCCTCCAGATCAAGCTGTCCATTGCACCTGGCAGAATCACTTCTCCCTGCCGTCTGGGGGACACACCCCCATGACAAGGGAGGTAAAAAAAACCACAGTCTCTGCAATCCTGGCAATGGGCCCCCAAGAAATGTTACAGAAAACTGGAACAGAGAGATGGGACTCTGAGGTGAGGAAGCAACATGTATTTATTGTGCTGGCACAGACTCAATGCACTCATGTCCAAAGGCTGAGCCCCAAGAACAAAGGGGCCTGATCTTATGTATCCTTGCAAGCAAGTTACAGAGGCAATAAAATTTAAAAAAACAAACAAACAAGGTTTAACCCATATATGGTTATATGCAATCTATAGACCACTTCACCCTAATGCTAGTACCCTTCTATTCCTAGTGCTGTGTGACATTCTTCACGTTTGGATTCTTTAGGTTTTATTTCTGTGCTATGCCATCCCTTCCCTGCTGCTACTTTACTGGAACATAGGCCTATCTGTTTCTCTTCTGGTCCTTCTCCCTGCTGCAGTAAGAAGTACGTATAAAAAGTGACTCATGCCACCTGTCCCATCCTGCTAAAGGCTCTCGGAAAGACTCATGAGGAGAGGCATTTGAGCTGGATCTTGAAAGTCAGATAGGCTTAGACCTTTTAGAAGTAAGGGAAGATGGAGAGGAGAACTCAAGATAGAGGAAATAAGCTAGAGAGGAGCTTTATTTCTTGGGAAGTGTATGTTCATGTCCTTGGGTGAGGCTCCCAACAGCAGAGATGGCAGTCAAGCCATGGATCTGAGTGGAAGTGGAACGGGTGGGTATGTGTGATGTAGGTACAATGTCAGTAAACAGATTATAAATAATCCAGAAGAGGAAGATGAGGCCAGACCGGTGAGTAGCTTTTAGTTAACTGAATGGGAAGAGGGAAAAAAAAAAAAAGAAGAAGAAAAAACCAGGTATGGTTTTGCACACCTGTAATCCTGGTACTTGGGAGACTGAGGCAGGAGGATCTCAAGTTCGAGACTAACTTGGGCTGCATAGTGAGACCCTATTTGAAAAAACAAAAAGAAAAACATATGGCTTGGGAGTGTAGCTCAAGTGGTCAAGTGGTAGAGTACTTGCCTAACATGCACAAGACCCTGGGTTCAATCCCAGTACCATTCACACACACACACACACACACACACACACACACACACAACCCTCTCACCTTCATGTCCTAAAAAAAAGAAAGAAAAAGAGTATGAACTCTTTAAGTTTTCTGTCCCTGGATGATTTTTTTGTTTTGTTTTGTTTAAATAGTGTGTTTCTACCAAGGAGGACTACAACTCCTGTTGAAAGCTCTTTTATCCCAGTTCCAATGAATGGGCCTAAGGCTGTGAGACTAGCTTTACAATAGGTCTCTGATCTATTTCCTCTTTTACTCTGCCTGTTGTTTTCACTCTGTAAGGATTAGAGCCAGAAGTCCTGGCTTTCTTACATAACCTTTTGCCCTCTCCCATCTGCCAGGATTACTTCTTCCTTATTCTTTCTCCTCTGACTTTAGTAGCCAGGAATGGACGCTTTTACCGTCTTGATCATTTACTTTCAGTAAAGTGATATTTTGAAAGCAGAAGTTCAGGTTGTGGTTTTTTTGTTGTTGCTTTGTTTTGTTTTGTTGCAATACTGGGGCTTGAACTCAGGTCCTTCATCTTGAGCCACTCCGCCAGCCATTTCTGTGATGGGTATTTTGAAATAGGGTCTATTTGTCCAGGCTGGCTTCGAAACCTGATCCTCCTGATCTCTGCCTCCTGAGTAGCTAGGATTTCAGGTGTGAGCCACCGGTGCCCAGCGCAGGGTTGTTTTTGCAGAAACTGAATTCTTACTTAATTTGGTCTAGGTATGGTTCAAGCGGTAGAATGCTTAGCAAACACAAGGTACTGAGTTCAAAACCAGGTACTACAAAAAAAATTGGTCTATTATGGAGGAGCCAAGATAAAGGAGAAGAGGAGCAGGAGCACCCAGTGAGGTTATCTTTCTCCCAGACTTGGCTTTATTTCTGCTGTTAGAAGACTTTATCATTTAACACCTCTTAGTGCCAGAGGGTGATACCTCCTCATTTGGAGGGGGATGTGCTGACTTGCATCTTTATAGCTCTGCCATCTGGGTACTTGGATTGAACCCAGGGCCTAGCACATGCTAGGTGAGCGTTTTTTCTACTGAGACACCCCTACTGTCTTCTGCCAGCTTCCAAGGCTGCCACTTGGAGAGAGCAGACAGGGAAGGCCTTCAATCTGAGTATACATCCATATACCTATGTGCACACACACTAGTGATATCCCTGAAAAAGCTGCAAGGTGTCTTTAAGGAAAGTCAGGGATTGCACACACAGAAGCTACTTCACCAGTCCCAGGTCTCAGAGTCTGCAGGCATCTGAGAATGGACAGCAAAGGGAAGTCTCTGTTCAGTTCTCCTGGTCACTCTGAGTGTTTTACTGGCCCCTTGTATTGTTGGGCTAAGCAGTAAGAAAGTAGGTTAGCACTGGATGGGGGTGGAGGGGTGGCAGGCAACCTGAAGAAGTAGACCAGTTATATAAATGCAGCAAGATAGCGTCAGGCATTAAGCCTTAGTCCTTTGAAGACTTCCTATCCATTTTCTGTGGAGGAACAGGGGTGGAGTCCAGGTTTAGAGGTAGGTACTGGATGCTGCTAAGGGCAGAGAGCAGCGCAGCTGACAGTGCGTAGGGGACAGGGTTGATGAATGTTCCTGACTTCCCATGGGAGCTGGGTAAAGAAGGTAATGTGTTTGTGTGTGTTCATGACATTAGTGTCCAGTTCTTGTCCAGGATTCTGGATCTGTGCCTATTGATTATCTCATGAGTGTTTAGGGATCTGAATAAGCAGGGTCATGCTTCAGAAAAGGGAGATGATTATTCTTCGGAGAGTGACAGGGAACTTACCTGTTTCCTATTCACTTCCTTTGCTCCTCATTCTGTTAGCTGCTGACTTTAACTGAGATTACCAGGATTTCAGATAGCTTTGGAGCCAGGCACCAGTGATACCTGTGATCCTAGCTACTGGGGTGGCAGAGATCGGGAGGATTGAGGTTCAAGGTCAGCCCAGGCAAATAGTTTGTGAAATCCTATCTTGAAAATAACCAACACCAAAAAGGACTGGTGGACTGGTGGAGTATCTCAGGTGGTAGAGAGCCTGCCTAGCAAGCATGAGGCCCTGAGTTCAAACCCCTATACCACCAAAAAAAAAAAAAAAACTTTGGCAATGACTGCTCTAATGTGTGCATAGTTTTCATCTGTGTCTGATAGCAGTGTCTGTCTGTGTTTTACATTCAGATCTTGCTATTCACGCAAACATAATGCAGCCAAAGAGTATCTTGGGATCATAGTACTGGTCCAGTGTTGTCAGTCTGGACACATCTACCACTGGCCAGCCTCCAAATTCCCACACACAGCTAAAAAGTAAATTTAAAAAAATAACTTTGGTTAGGTATACTGGCTCATGCCTGTGGTCCCAGCACTTAGGAGGCAGAGGCAAAGTGATCATGAGTTGAGTCTGAGGCCAGCCTGAACTACATATCAAGACCCTGTCTCAAAAAGGCAAAAAAAAGTAATTTGGGGAAGGAGTGTGAAGGAACTTTCTCTGCATATTCTTAGTGCCTCAGAAGCCCTGGGTCTCCTAGGACGTATCGAATCATAAATAGAATCACTGTGTGATTGGAGCTGGCATTTCTTGGTTCTTATGGCACATCAGGGCTGTGATTGTGTGTAGAAGAGTTACGGAAGGTAGAGGGGCACTAGGTCTGATCATTTTGAGAAAGAGATGAGCTCCCCCCTCCCAAGGCTGCAGCGCTCTCTGAGGTAAAAGTCTAAGAGTTGATGCCCTTCTCTAGCAACCTTTGTTCTTCCTTAGGTTAAAGTATGGGCAGGTGCTTAATTCATAGGTTAGAGCCTCTTTCCTTTTATCTGGTAGAACCCTTAACTTAAAGCTGGGGGCTTTGGGGATGTAGCTCAGTGGTAGAGGGATTGCCTAGCATGTGTGACACTCTGGATTGATCCCCAGCATTGGGGTGGGATGGAGGGGAGGACTGCCTTGGGACTGGGAGTGGCACTTTTGGTTTTGACAAAAGTGAAGCAGTTGAAGAGCTTGTGCAGAATGCTGTGAGCATTGGAGGACTGCCTATTCATCTGCTTTGCACAGAGAAGACCTAAGACCTTGCATTCTTCTTTCCCAGGCCTCATCGTTTTTGTCTCCTCTGTCTCCACCTTCTTTACTTCTCTGTGGCTGGTCCTCTAATGTATGGACTTGTACATGATGAACTGTGAACTTCTAGCCACATGTAGTGCCCTGGGGTACTTGGAGGGAGACATTTACCACAAGGAACCAGATTGCTTAGGTGAGTGCCTTTTTGAGGAATCAGGTAAACTTCATTGAATTGAGAGGATTTGTTGAATTTTCCAGAACCATAGCTGTGGAAAGTGGGTGGGCCTAGGTGGAGCTTCTTCCACAGTTCCAGGTACACATTTTATCCTGTCTCTGAAGAGAGTGTGAAGGATTTGATCCGCTACTTGAGGCATGAGGACGAGACGCGGGATGTGCGGCAGCAACTGGGGGCAGCCCAGATCCTGCAGAATGACCTTCTACCCATCCTCACCCAGCACCGCCAGGACAAGCCTCTCTTTGATGCTGTTATCAGGTTTCATTCCTCAGCTTTTTTATTTTTACCATGTGTCAGCATTCATGTTTGAATGATAGCTTGTGTTTGTGCCTGGCAAGGAAACCTAACTACTTCTTCCTGCTTCATTGTCTCCAGACTGATGGTAAACTTGACACAACCAGCCTTGCTCTGTTTTGGCAGTGTGCCAAAGGAGCCAAGTGTGCGGCACCACTTTCTGCAGGTGCTAACTTATCTGCAGGCTTACAAAGAGGTGAGGCCTTTCTTCAGAGGCCCCAGGTCAGAATTGGGGCAGTGGGAAAGGAGGAGACGGATGCTAGGTAAGATCTGTTCTCTGTTCCACAGGCCTTCGCCAGTGAGAAGGCTTTTGGAGTCCTCAGTGAAACCTTGTATGAACTGCTGCAGCTGGTGAGCAAGTCTTCGCTCTATGACATCAAATGGAGCAGTTAGCAGTTTGCCCCTTCCCTGGGTAGAGGAGGAGATGCTGGGTCTGGAGATATCCTAGTCCTTAGGGATATGGTAGCTTACTGCATTGTCTCCCAGCTGCCTCGGCCCTGCCTGCTTGAACTCTTTTTTATTTTTTATTTTTTTGGCCATGCTTGGCCAAAAATTTTAAAGGGCTTGTGCTTGTGAGGGAAGCACTGCATAGCCACACACACTCAGTCCCAGTCTTTTTTTTTTTTTTTTGGCTGAACTCTTTAATCCTAATTCTTTTCTTTACCCGAATCCTGCAGCCTGAATAGATGCCTGCCTTCTACAAGGAATCTCTCCCTCTAACTCTTTCCTCTGACTAGGGCTGGGAGGAGCGGCAAGAAGAAGACAACTTGCTGATCGAGCGGATCCTGCTGCTGGTCAGGAATATTCTCCATGTCCCAGCTAACCTTGACCAGGAAAAGGTGAGAATCTTGGGACATCTGAGTTCTTGTGCTTGGTTAGGCTGAACTGCCCTTTTTAGGCTTTTTGTCTTCTGACAAGTCTGGGAGGAGAACCTTGGCCAAGGAGAGAGTTGTAGAACTTCAAGGCTGGGCTATGGAACTGAATGTTCTCTCCTCCCCCTGCCACCCATTGCACAGAGGATCGACGATGATGCCAGTGTCCATGACCAGCTTCTATGGGCAATTCACCTCAGCGGCCTGGATGACCTGCTTCTCTTCCTGGCCAGCTCGTCTGCTGAGCAGCAGTGGAGCCTGCATGTGCTAGAGATTGTCTCCCTTATGTTTCGTGACCAGGTGAGACCCTTGCCTACTGCCCCAGTCTGCTGCATCCACATACTTTTCTGCTCCCTGATCAGAATCACTTTGATAGTATGGCTGAATGATCTGGGGAAGGCAGGAGATGGGTAAAGAAGCCATGTCTTCAGTATAGCATCCCATCACAATCCTGTTATGTTTACTCTTTCAATCCCCAGTAGGAGTGAATTCAGGATCTAAGACATGACTGTCCTTCTGTCTATCCCCTCCTTGTTCCAAATCTAGAATCCTGAGCAGCTGGCAGGAGTAGGGCAGGGACACTTAGCTCAGGAGCGGAGTATGGATGTGGCAGAACTGGAGATGTTGCGCCAGCGGGAGATGGCAGAGAAGAAGACTCGCGCCCTCCAGCGAGGCAACAGGTGAGTGACAAGAGAGCTCCTCTGCCTTTATTCCTGTCTTATAGCAGGAAACGCTGAATGCCTGGTCAGTTTGGAAACAGTGAAGACTGGGTAACATTTTAAAGCTTTAACTTGCTCTGTTAACTTAAAAGAGACTGGAATAAAGCTTCCAGAGAATTGAGGAATCACTTTGCCTTTTTTTCCCCCCTGCAGGCATTCTCTTTTTTTTTTTATTTTTTTATTTTATTCATATGTGCTTACAAGGCTTGGGTCATTTCTCCCCCCCTGCCCCCATCCCCTCCCTTACCACCCACTCTGCCCCCCTCCCTCTACCCTCCACTAGTTTCCCAGCAGAAACTATTTTGCCCTTATTTCTAATGTTGTTGTAGAGAGAGTATAAGCAATAATAGGAAGGAACAAGGGTTTTTGCTGGTTGAGATAAGGATAGCTATACAGGGCATTGACTCACATTGATTTCCTGTGCGTGGGTGTTACCTTCTAGGTTAATTCTCTTTGAACTAACCTTTTCTCTAGTTCCTGGTCCCCTTTTCTTATTGGCCTCAGTTGCTTTTAAGGTATCTGCTTTAGTTTCTCTGCGTTGAGGGCAACAAATGCTAGCTAGTTTTTTAGGTGTCTTACCTATCCTCACCCCTCCCTTGTGTGCTCTCGCTTTTATCATGTGCTCAAAGTCCAATCCCATTGTTGTGTTTGCCGTTGATCTAATGTCCACATATGAGGGAGAACATACGATTTTTGGTCTTTTGGGCCAGGCTAACCTCACTCAGAATGATGTTCTCCAATTCCATCCATTTACCAGCGAATGATATCATTTCGTTCTTCTTTATGGCTGCATAAAATTCCATTGTGTATAGATACCACATTTTCTTAATCCATTCGTCAGTGGTGGGGCATCTTGGCTGTTTCCATAACTTGGCTATTGTGAATAGTGCCGCAATAAACATGGGTGTGCAGGTGCCTCTGGAGTAACCTGTGTCACAGTCTTTTGGGTATATCCCCAAGAGTGGTATTGCTGGATCAAATGGTAGATCAATGTTTAGCTTTTTAAGTAGCCTCCAAATTTTTTTCCAGAGTGGTTGTACTAGTTTACATTCCCACCAACAGTGTAAAAGGGTTCCTTCCCCCCCCCCCTCCCCGCATCCTCGCCAACACCTGTTGTTGGTGGTGTTGCTAATGATGGCTATTCTAACAGGGGTGAGGTGGAATCTTAGTGTGGTTTTAATTTGCATTTCCTTTATGGCTAGAGATGGTGAGCATTTTTTCATGTGTTTTTTGGCCATTTGAATTTCTTCTTTTGAGAAAGTTCTGTTTAGTTCACTTGCCCATTTCTTTATTGGTTCATTAGTTTTGGGAGAATTTAGTTTTTTAAGTTCCCTATATATTCTGGTTATCAGTCTTTTGTCTGATGTGTAGCTGACAAATATTTTCTCCCACTCTGTGGGTGTTCTTTTCAGTTTAGAGACCATTTCTTTTGATGAACAGAAGCTTTTTAGTTTTATGAGGTCCCATTTATCTATGCTATCTTTTAGTTGCTGTGCTGCTGGGGTTCTATTGAGAAAGTTCTTACCTATACCTACTAACTCCAGAGTATTTCCTACTCTTTCCTGTATCAACTTTAGAGTTTGTGGTCTGATATTAAGATCCTTGATCCATTTTGAGTTAATATGGATATAGGGTGATATGCATGGATCTAGTTTCAGTTTTTTGTAGACTGCTAACCAGTTTTTCCAGCAGTTTTTGTTGAAGAGGCTGCTATTTCTCCATCGTATATTTTTAGCTCCTTTGTCAAAGACAAGTTGGTTATAGTTGTGTGGCTTCATATCTGGGTCCTCTATTCTGTTCCACTGGTCTTCATGGCTGTTTTTGTGCCAATACCATGCTGTTTTTATTGTTATTGCTTTGTAATATAGTTTAAAGTCAGGTATCGTGATACCTCCAGCATTGTCCTTTTGACTGAGTATTGCCTTGGCTATTTGTGGCCTCTTGTGTTTCCATATAAATTTCACGGTAGATTTTTCAGTCTCTTTAATGAGTGTCATTGGAATTTTGATGGGAATTGCATTAAACATGTAGATTACTTTTGGGAGTATAGACATTTTTACTATGTTGATTCTACCAATCCATGAGCATGAGAGATCTCTCCACTTTCTATAGTCTTCCTCAATCTCTTTCTTCAGAAGTTTATAGTTTTCCTTGTAGAGGTTATTCACATCTTTTGTTAGGTTTACACCTAGGTATTTGATTTTTTTTGAGGCTATTGTAAATGGAATTGTTTTATACATTCTTTTTCAGTTTGCTCATTGTTAGTGTAAAGAAATGCTAAGGATTTTTCTATGTTGATTTTATATCCTGCTACCTTGCTATAGCTATTGATGATGTCTAGAAGCTTCTGAGTAGAGTTTTTTGGGTCGTTAAGGTATAGGATTATGTCATCTGCAAATAGGGATATTTTGCCAGTTTCTTTACCTATTTGTATTCCTTTTATTCCTTCTTCTTGCGTAATTGCTCTGGCTAGGAATTCCAGTACTATGTTGAATAGGAGTGGAGATAGTGGGCATCCTTGTCTGGTTCCTGATTTTAGAGGGAATGGTTTCAGTTTTTCTCTGTTAAGTATAATGCTGGCTGTAGGTTTGTCATATATAGCTTTTATAATGTTGAGGAACTTTCCTTCTATTCCTAGTTTTCTTAGAGCTTTTATCATGAAATGGTGTTGGATCTTATCAAAGGCTTTTTCTGCCTCTATTGAGATGATCAAGTGGTTTTTGTCTTTGCTTCTGTTAATGTGGTTTATTACGTTTATTGATTTTTGTATGTTGAACCACCCCTGCATCCCTGGGATGAAGCCTACTTGGTCGTGGTGAATAATCTTTTTGATGTGTTGTTGAATTCGGTTCCTGCAGGCATTCTCGATTCGGTGGTTCCTACATTGTCCAAGGGCTGAAATCCATTGGGGAGAGGGACCTCATCTTTCACAAAGGCCTTCACAATGTGAGTATTCACATGTCTGGGGTGAGAACACTACGGAGTTGCAGAACCTGAGAAGAACAACTGTCTCTGGAGTTAGAGCTTCTGTGCTCTTAAGCTTAAAAAGTTGGTGACAGCAGGAGAAGTAGAGCCTCTGGCGTTAGTCACATTGTCTTCATTAATATCTTCACTTAGTAGTATCAGAGGCAGAGAACATTTTAAGAGTTTCTTCTGAAAAAAATTGCAGTACCAGGGATGGGAAAGCACTGCAAGGAGAGGGTGGTTTTAGGAGTAATTCTAATTCCCCAACTCACACTTCCCAGCTCCGAAACTACAGTTCAGATTTGGGAAAGCAGCCCCGAAGGGTGCCTAAACGTCGCCAGCCTGCCCACGAGCTGTCCGTTCAGCGCCGCTCTGCCCTCAATGTAAGGATCTTCCTCAGAGACTTCTGCTCTGAATTCCTGGAGAACTGTTATAACCGGCTCATGGGCGCAGTAAAGGTGAGAGTCTAGGAGGGATAAGGAGGAGTAGGAGATGAAGTAGACAGGGTGGCCAGAGAGGTAATGGGGCCAGCATGGGTAAGAAAGGCCACCTGGGAGACTATGGAAGGCTGATCTGGAGTGTGGACTAGAATAAGGGTAGGGTGCCCCTGAGGGACTGCAAAGATGCCAAAAAAGATTCTAAAAATTTCCCTAGAAGGAGGGAAGGGGAATGGACAGATCTGGGGAGAATAAGAGAGAATTGGAAATTGTAGGACCCTCACATCTAGGGCAGGAGGAAGTTGGAAGCCCTGAGGTCGTAGCCCTTCTTTTTTATGTATGTAGGATCACCTGCTCCGTGAGAGAGCTCAGTGGCATGATGAGACCTACTACATGTGGGCCTTGGCTTTCTTCATGGCCTTCAACCGAGCTGCCTCCTTCCGTCCGGGCTTGGTTTCTGAAACTCTCAGTGTCCGTGCCTTCCACTTTATTGAGCAGAACCTCACCAACTACTATGAAATGATGCTGACTGACCGCAACGAAGCGGCCTCCTGGGCACGCAGGCAAGTAGAATGGCTGTGGGGAGTCACTGCAGGCATCTTGGCCAGCTAGGAGTCTTGAAGATCTGAATTTTGGATGATACTTTTTCCAGATTCAGGGTTGAAGTTGTCAGAGTAGGGGGCAAAAACTGGTGGGGTCATTTTGGTTTGGGGCGTATTTTTTTGGGGGGTGGGAGAGATGTTTCCGTGGCCAGTGCACTAAGTGGTCCTCTGGACTTGTTGCCCTCAACTCACAGGATGCACCTGGCTCTAAAGGCCTATCAGGAGCTGCTGGCCACAGTGAATGAAATGGACTTGTCCCCAGATGAGGCTGTGAGGGAGAGCAGTCGCATCATCAAGAGTGAGGCCCCAGCCTGTTCCCTAGTCCCAGCCTTTTCATCCATATTTCCCTCCCTCCTTTTCGCTCTCTCTCTCTCGTCTTTGGTTTTGAGACAGGGTCTCAGCATATAGCCCAGGCTGGACTCAACCTCAAAATCCTTCTACCTCAGCCTCCCCAGTGGTGGGATTACAAGTGTGAACCATCACACCCTCTTCTCTTCTCCCTCCCATCTCTTGATTAGAATTTCATTCTTCCCAGTCCCAGCTTCATCCACTTCTCCTTGTCTAAGCTTGCCAGATCAGTCCTTCCATTCCTTTCTCTTCCTTACTCCTAGACAACATTTTCTATGTGATGGAGTACCGAGAACTATTTCTGGCACTCTTTCGAAAGTTTGATGAGAGATGCCAGCCCCGCTCATTTCTTCGTGACCTGGTGGAAACCACCCACCTCTTCCTCAAGATGTTAGAGCGGTTCTGTCGGAGCCGTGGGAATCTGGTGGTGCAGGTATTGGACAGCTCCAGTGTGTGGAAAAAGCTATAGGGGAGGGTGAAGGACCGAGGGCTCTTTCTCCTCATATTTTCTTCAGCTTAAGCTGATATGTTAGAACTACTCTGAACTAAGAGAACAAGAGGACTTTGATGTTCCTGGTGTGAGTCTGCCATAGTTTCCTTTTCTCATTAGATTGAATCTAATGAGATTAGATTTATTGAATACCTCGTAAGTGCTAACTAAGTACATACATTTTGAGGGATTCATAGTCATGGAGTTCAGTAATTATAGTGTAATATTTCCTGGTTATATTTCAGAAGTGTCATGGTCAGATGGGAAGAGCCTTAAATTAAAAGTTACTAAGGTTGGGGATCTCTTCCTGTATTAGTTATAGTTAGCATAAACTCAAGTTTCCAGATCCTTACATTGGAATTTTTTTTTTTTGGTGGGAGGGAATGGAGAGCTGTACTGGGGTTTGAACTCAGGGCCTACATCTTGAGCCACTCCACCAGCCCTATTTTTGGGAAGGGTTTTTCAAGGTAGGTTCTCTCAGACTATTTCCCTGGGCTGGCTTTGAACTGCGATCCTCCTGATCTCTGCCTCCTGGGTAGCTAGGATTACTGGCATGAGCCACAGGCACCCAACTATGTTCCTACCTTTGGTGTGTTTGATCATAAATTCATTGAATAAAATATAAACCTCAGGGGTTACCCAGTCCATCCATCCTGTTTGACTTCTGAGTACCCACACAATAGACTGGTTTACTCCTATGATTAACTCACTCTGGGTCCTGCTTTTCAGAAGGAAAAAAATTATGAGCTCTATTTACATAGTGTTTTGCCTTTTACAAAGGCTTTTCGTGTGTCTTATTTGATTCTTGTGGCAAATTTCTTCGTTCTATAGACTTTGTAAGTTAAATTGCTGCTTTTGGCAAACTCTCTTACTCCAAGAAATGGGTGTTTTGTGCTCACGTTATAGCTGTCATCCTTTCTGTAACAATTTATTCACTTGCTTGTCTCTCCCACTTGAGTACAAACTGCTCGAGGGCAAAGAAATAACCATTCACTGCTGCTTCTCATTGCCTACGAGCAGCATGTAATGTGCACTCTGAATGTCCACTTAGTTTTAAAATAGTGAAGACATTGATGGGAAAAATACTTCCTTAGCTCACTTGCTATCCTCATATAGTCATTTCCCTACAGAACAAACGAAAGAAGAGAAAAAGAAGAAGAAGGGTCTAAACCAGGCTGTCACTTCTGGTAATGACCCATCTAGCCCAGGGGAGCTGGAAGCTTTGTGGCCAGCCCTGGCTGAGCAGCTGCAGTGCTATGTCCAGGTAGGTAATTGCCTAAACCCTTTCCTTTATTTTCCCCCCTTGGTACTAGGATTTGAGCTCAGGGCTTCATACTTGCTAGGTGGATGCTGTACCACTTGAGCCACATCTCCAGCCCTTTTTGCTTTTAGTTATTTTTCAGGTAGGGTCTCTGTTTTTGCCAGGGTCATCTTGGACAATGATCCTCCAACTTGTGCCTCCTATGTACTTGGGATGACATGCATGTACCACCATGTCCAGCTTATTGGTTGAGATGAGGTCTCAAAAACTTTTTTCCCAGTCTGTCCTTGAACAGCAGTTCTCCTGATCTCCATCTCCCAAATAGCTGGGATTATAGGCCTGAGCCACCATGCCTGGTGTCTTTTTTGAGGATAGTGCTCTGGATAGACAGACCATGTTCCCATGGTCTTTTCTGTTTTTAGGATCCTGAGCTCAACATAGACTCCATGGTTCCCTTTGATGCGGCCTCAGAGGTACCAGTGGAAGAACAGCAGGCAGAAGCCATGGTACGAATCCAAGACTGTCTCTTGGCTAGCCAGGCCCCACAGGCTCTGGCCCTCCTGAGGTCTGCTCGGTAAGAATCTGGTGCACTCATCTTCTAGGCTTTGATATGCATGAAGAGGCCTTCACTGCAGGTTCATGTAGATTCTCAGTTTTTAGAAGAGAAAAGTCTCATCAGAAGCTATGGGGCTCTATACTGAGCACTGATTCCTGTGAGGTTTTTTGGGGTTTTTTTTGTCAGTACTGAGGTTTGAACTCAGCTACCCTTTAAGTCATGCTGGTGAGCATGACTAGTTGAAGTTTTTGTTTGTTTTTAGGAAATAGCAGAAAGCACAGCTAATTGAGGGAAAAATAAAGATAATTCTACTAGCCAAAGATAACCATTTTGGTGTTTTGATGAGTAGCATTCTACAGTTTCTTTTTCTATTGTGTTTAGAGATTATAAATTTAGGGACACACACACACACACACCTCCCTTTATAAAAATAAAGGATCCAGATATAGAGGCATGTATACCTATAATTGAAGCACTCAGGAGGCTGAGACAGGAAGATCTTGAGTTCAAGGGCAGCCTGACTTCACAGTGATGTTTAAAAAGCCAAAAGAAAAAAAAGAAAGAAATATTATATATGCTGACTTATAATAGGTTTTCACTTCTCAGAATATTTTCAGCATCATTTCTCATCAGATATATTATCTATAGTTATTAATGATTTTCAAACACCATTGTGTAAATATGTACATTTTTATCAACCAAGTGTCAACACTTCAATTACTCACACTTTTTTTTTTTTTTTTTTTGGCGGTACCGGGGCTTGAGCTCAGGGCCTTCACCTTGAGCCACTCCACAAGCCCTTTTTTGTGATGGGTATTTTCGAGATAGGGTCTCTCAGACTATTTACATGGGCTGGCTTCTAACCGTGATCCTCCTGATCTCTGCTTCCTGAGTAGCTAAGATTACAGGCATGAGCCACTGGCACTCAGCCACACTTTGTTCTTACATGATTTTCATTGTGATGTGCCTTATGTGGAAAAATTTTTCTAGAGTCTGTTTGATCTCTGTGGTAACACTTTGCATTCTCTTTCTGGGAGACAAATGAAATAAGTCTAAATCCTTCTCCCACTTCTAATTACAACTCAGATTTCTGGTCTGTGCTCCAGGGAGGTGTGGCCAGAAGGAGATGTGTTTGGCTCGACAGACATTTCCCCAGAGGAAGAGATGCAGTTGATGAAACAGATCCTCTCTGCTCCACTTCCCCGTGAGTCTCCTTTCCTTCTTGTCTCTTTCTTCCTAGCTCTGCTCCAGTACAAACATGACAGAGATCCTCACTCTTTGTATAGGGCAGCAGGGGCCATCGGAAGGAGGCGCAGAAGAAGAAGAGGAAGAAGAGGAGGAAGAGGAGTTGCAGGTGGTCCAGGTTTCAGAGAAAGAGTTCAACTTTCTGGACTACCTGAAACGGTATACACAGAGGATTGAGTTGGTCCCAGGTGGTGACTGTGCAGCTGTGAGAATGAGCAACCTACATCCAATGCTGACCTCCTCCCCTCCCTGTTTTGGTACAGCTTTGCATGCTCAACTGTTGTGCGAGCCTATGTGCTTCTGCTGCGGAGCTACCAGCAGAACAGTGTCCACACTAACCACTGTGTTGTCAAGATGTTGCACCGGCTAGCCCGTGACCTCAAAATGGAAGCCCTGCTTTTCCAGCTTTCAGTCTTCTGCCTCTTCAATCGTCTGCTTAGTGATCCTGCTGCAGGAGCCTACAAAGTGAGAAGCTAGCTGGGAGTGTGTGGGTGACCTTTAGCAGATAAGTGAGGCTATGAGGTGTCAAGAGCTAGTCAATGAGAACACGATGAAAAGGACAGCAGGCAGGTTGAGGGATCTGCACCGAGGATGGACAGAATAGAGAATCTGAGTGAGGAGGGGCAGGTGGGGTTAAGTCTTTGTATCCATTTGGGCCATGGTATCAGAGCAGCCTTCCTGTCCTATAGGAGCTGGTGACTTTTGCCAAATACATCTTGGGCAAGTTTTTTGCGCTGGCTGCAGTCAACCAGAAAGCCTTTGTGGAGCTTCTCTTTTGGAAGAACACAGCTGTGATTCGAGAGATGACTGAGGGCTATGGCTCCCTGGACAGTGGGTGAGCTTGGGGATGGGGAAGGATGAACAGTAGGGAAGAGTGATGGAGAGTCACAGAGAGTCAAAGCTGGAAGAGCTTGCCGGTCATTTGATATAATAGTTCTCTTTCAAAGCTGAGAAAACAGATCCAGAAGGTGAAACACTTTAAGCTTACCCAAGAGAGGAGAGGGGCCTAGGTCTCCTGTGTACCTTAGTTTCCTTCTCTGTTGCTAACCTTCACAGAGGTGGTTACTGATGGGAGTGGGATGGTCTCCTAGAGAGTCTGTATGTGTCCTCACAGAACATGCAGGGAACCAAGCTGGGCATGATGGTCCACACCTGTGATCCCAGCATTCTGAGGTCAGCCTGGGACTTGCTCAGCAAGAACCTGTCTCAAAAAAAAAAAAAAAAAAAGCTGGTATTGGTGACTTAATACTTAAAATTGTAGCTACTCAGGAGGTAGAGATCAGGAGGATCATGGGTGAAACCAGCCTGGGCAAATAGTTTGCATGACCTTATCTCCAAAATAACCAGCACAAAAAAGGGCTGGTAGAATGGCTCAAATGGAAGACGCCTGCCTAGCAAGCATGAGGCCCTGAGTTCAAACCCAAGTACTACCAAAAAAAAAAAAAGTCCTGGGACTTAAGGATTCACAGAAATATTTGTTCTCTTTTCCTTAGTATTTAGCTCCTTTCCTTTTACATTGCTCTCTTTTTCCCATAATATTCTCGGTCCTTAGAGCATCATGTCCTATACACCCAAGCTAGAAAGTCTCATAGTTTGACTTTTGGGTTCCTAAGTGGAAGGAGGATGAGCAGAAGGAAGGAAGCATACCACTGCTACCTGGCTCCTCTGAGTTACCTGCCTCATTCTTCTTGTTCCTTTCAGAACTGATCAGGGAGGGACTTTAGTCTCTTCCTTTTTGGGTCAGCAATCTACATGCACCTCTTTCCCTTTTACCAATCAGGTCTTCTGGTCGCAGAGGCCCTATTTGGAGCCCTGAGGAAGAAGCCCAGCTTCAGGAACTGTACCTTGCCCATAAGGACGTGGAAGGTGTGAGGCTTTGAGATCTGAAGAGTTCAGGCAGCCTGAACTCCAGTACCTCTTTCTTTACTGCCTCACTCTTTTTCCACCCCAGGTCAGGATGTGGTGGAAGTCATTTTGGCACACCTGAAAACCGTTCCTCGAACGCGCAAGCAGGTCATCCATCATCTGGTACAGCTGGGACTGGCTGACAGTGTCAAGGACTTCCAAAGGTAGAGGTGCATGGCTCTAGAGGGATTTGGGGTAGGAAATGCTGGTCTTGCTCTTCCACTGACACCTTCCTAAACAGGAAAGGAACCCATATTGTATTGTGGACAGAAGATCAGGAGCTGGAGCTGCAGCGGCTTTTTGAGGAGTTCCAGAACTCAGATGGTGAGTGAGGAGGAAGCTCAGAGAATCTCTGAGATGAGAGCCAAGCTACTTTTTACCCTCACCCCCACCCCTGCTTCTTACTCCCAGGGGAAGCTTATCCCATCCCTTCTCTCTACTTGCTATATTTGTAAGCATCCCTTTGGGGCGAATTGAGCTAGCTTCTTTGAGGAGACCTCTAATTTCCTTTATTAATCCCTTTCTCTAGTTGCTCTTGTGTATTCATACACTCCCTCCCTATAGATGTCCTAGGTCATATCATGAAGAATATCACAGCCAAACGTTCCCGGGCCCGAATAGTAGATAAACTGCTGGCTCTGGGTCTGGTGACTGAGCGGCGGGAGCTGTACAAGAAACGGAGGAAGAAGTTGGCGCCCTCCAGCATGGTAACCATCTTACTCTAGCTCAGCCAGCCTGAGTCACTGCCCCTGAACTGCTTCTTATGAGTAGCCTACCCCGTGGGCTGTTCTGACTAGGTCCTTTCAGTGAGGAGGTCAGGACCCAGAAGTTGCCACAAAATTCCTCCTGTGGCCTTCTTTTTCATCCTACTGCCCCACTAAATTTCAGCCCAGTGGAGAAGAATCCCCGAAAGACTTTTGGCAGGAAGATCTGGAAGAAGAGAACTTGCCAGAGGAAGAGAGTGAAGAGGATGAAGAGAAAGAGGAGGACTTAGAAGCAGAACAAACCCAGGGTAGCTCATCTCTTTCAACTGAAAACCTTGGTGAAGGCCTGCATCAGGAAGGTAAGGACTTTGGTTGGGAGAGGTGTCTCAGGTGGAGGATTGAAATGGGAGTAAAGAACGAATAGAAGTTTCCCTTTTTCCCTTAGGCTTTTCCGCTCCACTTCTGTGGCTCCAGAACTGCTTGATTCGAGCAGCAGATGATCGGGAAGAAGATGGTAAGTGCTAGAGCACTGGAGGCCTCTGAGCCTGGTTGTGGGATGAAGGACCAGTCCTTTTTTCACATCTTTACTGTGACTCTTGACCCTGTTCTAGGCTGCTCTCAGGCAATTCCATTGGTGCCGCTTACAGAAGAAAATGAGGAAGCAATAGAAAATGAACAGTTTCAGCAGTTGTTGCGCAAGCTGGGGGTTCGGCCCCCCACCCCTGAGCAGGCAAGTCTAGCAGTTACAGTGTCAGCTGAGACATGTTGGTTCTGTTCAAACGCGTCTCTTCCTCGCTGTCATTGTTCATTGCTATTGCTCTCTGTCCTCATATCCTATTGCCACCTCCATCCTCCTCACTGCCCTGTCATCACTGACTGATATTCCTGCAACAGCTGTCCTGCTAGTATAGCCCCTAGATTTTTCTTTTCTTTTTTTTTTTTTTGTGGTACTGGGGTTTGAACTCAGGGCTTCGTGTTTGGTAGGCAGGTGCTCTACCACTTGAGCCACACTCCCAGCCTGATTTTTTTAAAATAAAGTTTTGATGATACTACTCCCCTATCTAGAGTACTTTATAGTTCCTCACTGCTTGCAGTGTAGAATCCACAATCTCTAAATTGGCCACCTTTGCAGTTCTGTGACCATTCTACCCACACACCTGCTTTACACAGTAGTCATCATGTACTGACTGACTGACTGACTTCCTTCCTTCCTTCCATTCTTCCCTTCTTCCCTCCCTCCCAGTAAAGGAAATAACAGAGTTTATTGAAGGTAAGGTTAGGGCATCACAAAAAGCAGTGGTTGCCCCAGGTGGACCAGGTGGGTTGGAAGTGTACAGGAAAAAGGAAGGGCAAGAGATCACAAAAAACAATGATAAAAACACAAATAAAAAAGAAAACCAAAACAAAACAAAATAGAAAAACAAAAAAGCAATAGTGGTCCCACCTGTCCAGGTAGGTTGGAGAAACAGGAAGCAGAGAGAGCCCTAGACTACTTTCTCCCTTTGAAATGGTGGCTTTTCCATGCCTAAAAGGTTAATAATGCTGGTACCTGTATTGAAAGGCTCAAACCACACACACAAGGTAATATGTATACACATGGTCATTCACACATGCACACATCCCATTTTCCAGTTGAATTTCAACCCAGCCTGCTCAGGGCTAGAGACAAAGCTCAAGTGGTCAAGTATCTGCCTACATAAGACCCTGAATTCAAACCCCAATACTGACAAAATTAAAAAACAAAAAAACAAAACCAAGAATCCATTCAATTGTGAATTCCTCAGAGAAGCAGTCCCTATCACCTTTGCAACCCCTGAAGCAAAAGTGATCCCTTTGGAAGCTGAGATTTGTTCATTCCCTTGATAGAACCCGATCTGGTGGTATTACAGCACGTTCATTCTTTCTCCTATTGATTGTGAGTTCCTTGAGAGCAAAGGTCATACCTGGTTCACCTTTCGAGCCCCAGGATCCATTCATTTACTTTTCCAGTTAACTGTATTTACTGGGAACATAATGTAGTGGGCACTGTGCTAGACATTGAGCATATATTATAGATAAACAATAAGTAGAGTTCACAACTCTTGTGACTCTTCACCAACGTAGAGTCATTTATTCAGTGGATAATACAAAAAGTTTCCCTTTGCTGTCATTTTCAACTGCTGTGCCTTGTAGGAAACCTTCTGGCGGATCCCAGCCAAGCTGAGCCCCACCCAGCTCCGGAGAGTGGCAGCTTCTTTGAGTCAACCAAAAGAGGAGGAGAAACTGCAGCCAGAACTTGGGTTAAAAGTCCCTGGAGAACACGGTCCCAGTGAGGAGCACACAGCTGAAGCCCTGAGGGCCCCCTTGTTAGCCCATAAAATGAAAGCAGGCCTAGTGTCCCCAAAGGGTTAAGTGTAATTGCTCATCTATTGACTACTTAGATTATATCAGCCTTGTTGGTTAGGGGGCTAAATTTGAGAATGTGCAGATCCAGTTCCCTAATTTTATGTTCTTTGGGCCACTGCAGTGGAGGAGACTGCTGATGAGAAAGAGCAATGGAAGGTAGCGCCCAGGAAGCGGCAACTGCTGGACAGTGATGAGGAACCCGAGGATGAGAGCAGGAGCAAAGGTAGAGAGTCAGATTGGGACCTGCTTTTTCTTCTAATCTGCCTTCAATCTGAAGAGAGATACCTGCCTTACTCCTTACCATACTTACATATTTTCTCCCCCACCCCTTATCCCTGTCATTCCCACAGCACCAGAGCTGGGAGCTCCAGTAATCCACAAGAAGAAACGGTTTCGAATTGAGGATGAAGATGAGGATGACTGAAGAGCAAGAAGCCTAGGGGCAGACATAGATTTATTTTCAGATGGTGAAGTTAAGTCAGTTGGGAGGGTCCCAAATCTTTTCTTATTGGATTGAAAACAATAGGGTCCTGGATTCTTCTCTAGCTAGGATTATAGGCATGAGCCAATTTGCTAGATTTAGGGCCCAGGAATTTTAGGCAACTAACAGTGTTGGATGGACTCTTCTGGAGTCACCCCTTGCTTCTCCCAGTTTTGTCAGTATGCCTCAGCAACACTCTGGGGACTTATTCCTTCTCTTGTAGAAACCATTTTTTGGTTACTACAGCTCTTTAGCAAATGAGAGGAATGAGTAAAATTCAGAAGGCACCCTGGACCACCTCTCATAGGTCTGTTCCTTTGACTTTTTGCTGGAGGTGGATCACAACCAAACAGGGAGTTTAATAACATAATGCACATGGGTTTTTCATCATTCTTAGAAGACACTGGATTCCCTCATCCTCATTTTCTTTCCAGTGATTAGTCCCCTAGACTTAAGATTGAGTCCAATTCCTAGAGTTGAGGTAGAGTTGGGATACAGTACTCTCAAGATGATGAATATATTTGATTTGCTCTTAGTATTAAATTAAACATATGTAGTTAAAAGTTGCTAATCTTGATCTGACTTGTCAATCTAAGTCCCCTAGCCTGCTACGTTTTGGAAGATCTTTAAAATGTTAGAGTTAAAAGAGACCATCAGGCTGGGCACTGGTGGCTCACGCCTGTAATCATAGCTATTCAGGAGGCAGAGATCAGGAAGATCAAAGTTCAAAGCCAGCCCAGTCAAATAGTTCTTGAGACCCTATCTGGACAACACGCAACATAAAAAAGTGCCTGTGGAATGGCTCAAGGTGTAGGACCAGAGTTCAAGCCCCAGTACTGCAAAATAAGAAAGAAAGAAAGAAAGAAAAACAAGAGACCATCAGATTTCCCTTTTCTTCTGTTTTCCACCTTCCCCTACAGAAGACACAGAAAAACATTCTTATTTCAAGATCCTTCATCTAGCTGGGCACGGTGGCATGTACCTGAAGTCCAACTGCTCAGGAGGCTGAGGCAGGAGGATTTCAAGTTTGAAGCCAGCCTGAGCAACATCATAAGACCCTATCTAAAAAAAAAAAAAAAAGTTGGCACCAGTGGCTCATAACTGTAATCCTAGCTACTGGGAAGGCTAAAATCAGCAGGATTTCTGTGAGGCCAGCCCAAGCAAATTGTTCATTAAGAGAAAAATGGAATGAGGTGTGGCTCAAGCCGTAGAACCTCTTCTTTGCAAGCATGCAGCCCTGACTTCAAAACTCAGTCCCATGAAAAAGCTAAAAATCCAACAAGGTGAGGTAATGTGTGCCTGTAATTGTAGCTAACTGCAGGAGATGGCGGCAGGAGGATGGTGAGTTCAAGGTCAACCTGGGCAAAGGTATCTGTGAGACTCAAAAACAAAAGGGCTACAGGTGTGGCTCAAGTGCAAGCTGGAGGCCCTGGATTCAATCCCCACTACTGAAGAAAAAAAAAAGTCCTTCATCTGGGGTAAATCTTTAGTGTGACAGGTATGAAGCAGGAAGATGCAGGAGCCACAAAGAAAGGGGAAAAAAGCGAGTTTGTCAGCATGGGATAGAGAAGAAGACAGTGTCGGAGCAGGAAAGAGATGAATAAGCAAATGCCATGTCCTTAACTATTGGAAACCATTGTGCTCTGACTCCTTTAGTTCCAGTTGAGCTAGGGTGAAGGTGGGGGAGATCAGGGAGGTCCCAAGATAAAGGATGCACTTGAACTGTCTTGTTTCTTACACTTGTTTTTGTCAAATGACATTTTTTTTATCACTATAATTTCCTTTGCTCTTAAATGTACTCTTCAAATACTAATATAGCCACGTCAACTTTCTCTTGACTAGTGGTGGCATGGTATACAGCTTTGCCCATCCTGCCTTTAAAGTGTATGTGTATGTGTGTTGAATTTTTAAAAATTCAATCTGAGTCTTTTTATTTATTTTTATGTTACTGGAGATAGAATGCAAGACCTCATGCATGCTAGCCAAGCACTGTACCACTGATCTGCATCCCCAGCCCTTTTTTTTTTTGTGGTACAGGGGTTTGAACTCAGGGCCTTCACCTTGAGGTACTCCATCAGCCCTATTTTTGTGAAGGGTTTTTCGAGATGGGGTCTCAAACTGTTTGCCTTATCTGGCTTCAAACTGCCATCATCCTGATCTCTGCTTCCTGAGTAGCTAGGATTACAAGCATGAGCCACCAATGCCCTGCCAGCCCTTTTTCTTTTATTTTGACACAAGATCTCACTGAGATACCCAGGCTGGCCTCAAACTCCAAGTTCTTCTGACTTAGCCTCCTGAAATTCAACAATCCTTGCATTTTAACTTGGGTGTTTAGACCATTTTTACTTAATATGACTATTGATATTGTCAGGTTTGGGGAGATTTATTTTTTTGAGTATTTTGGGGTGGCACTGGGGATTGAACTCGGGGCCTTGTTCATGCTTGGTTCATGCTCTACCACTGATACTAATATAGCCACTAGTTTTATTTTTTAACTGATACATAAAAAGTATACATAATAATAGGGCCCATGTGATGTTTCAACACATGTATACATTTTGTAACATTTAAATCAGTTTAAGTGTACCTATTTCCTTTATCTTTTCTTTGTCGGTACTGGGGTTTGAACTCAGGGCCTTATGCTTGCTGGGCAAGCACTCTTCTATGTGAGCCATGCCCCCAGCCTTTTTGCTTTAGTTATTTTTTGAACAGGGTCTCTCATGTATGCCTCAGCCATTCTGGATAACAGTCCTCCTATTTATGTTTCCCTCATAGCTGGAATGACAGACACATGCCACCATCCCCAGCTGTTTATTGGTTGAACTGGGGTTTTGAGAACTCTTAGCCTGGGCTGGCCTCAAACCACGATCCTACTGATCTCTGTCTCTCAAGTAGTAGGATTACAGGTGTGAACCAGAGCGCCTGGTGCAATCATGTCATTTCTTCTTGGCAAAAACATCCAGTATCCTTTCTTCTAGCTTTTTGAGATGTACTGTACATAATTATTATCTGTAGTCTCCTTATTGCTCAATACTACACCAGGGCTTCTTACTGTTATCTAACTAACTTACTACACTCTGATCAGCCTTTCCCCAAATATTGTAGTTTTAACTCTTAGCATCTTGCTATTCGTTTTCTATTTGTCCTATCTATTTTTTGTCCTTTCTTCTTTTTCTTCTTACTTTTGGTTTAAGAGATTATTTTTCTTTTGGTTCCATCTTACTTATTTTGTTAGTTTATTAGCTTTGTTATTTTCGTTTGCTTAAGGGATTTTAGTAGACATCTTTAATTTATCAGTCTAACTCCAGGTAATATTTATTATACTTCCTAATATACAATGTCAGAAACTTACCAGTGTATTTCCACTTTTTTCCCTCCCAGTGTTTGTGCTATTGTTGCACATTTTTATTTCTAAACTACATTATTTTTGCCTTAGTCAAGTATCTTTTTCTTTTTTCTTTTTGGCAGTACTGGAGTTTGAACTCAGAGCCTTGTGCTTGATAGGCAGGTGCTCTAACACTTGAGCCATGGCCCATCAATTATCTTTAAAGATAAAAAACTTATATATTTACCCATGTAATTATGATTTCTTATATTTTTCATTCTTTCGTGTACATCATATTTGTGTTGGATGTCTTTTTTTTCTTCAGCTTTTTTTTTTTTTTTTTTTAATGGTACTGGCCTTTGAATTCAAGGCCTTCTGCTTGCTAGCCAGATGCTCTTTCACTTGAGTCATGCCCTCAGCCCCCTTTAACATTTCTTTTATTATATGTGTACTTTTTCTATCATCCAATTAGTTGGGGGAATTCATTGTAACATTTGCATTTGTGCCTTTAATATTTCTTATACTTCAGGTCTGCTGGTGATAAATTCTTTCAGATTTTTTTATTTCTTTGTTTTTGTTTTGAGATAAAATTTACTGTTTCGACCATGTTACAGGATATACTTCAGAAGCATTTAATACATTCACAATGTGTTTTTCATCACCATTCCTCCCCCAAGAAAACAAAACGATAATGAAAAATCTTTCATCTTTCACTTTCTGGTTTTAGTTTTTTGTTTGTTGTTGTTTTGCCTCATCCAGCTACTGATTCTATGCCTATGGGACATATTTTGGGGCTAGGGTTGATGTTACAAGAAACTAATTCCCTCCCCCTTAAATTCCACCACTCAGAGGGTCATAGGTGAAATAAAGTTGCTTTAGCTGCAGCTGCTGCGTACTACACTGGTTCTTTCCCAACCGTGTATCCCTTCCCCCTCATTTCTGACCTTGACTCTAAAAACAGCTGACTCACCAGAGATTCCCCCTTCAATTCAATTTTCTCTTGCCTTTATTTTCTTTTCCGCCTGCAGAATTCCTCTCTAAAACACAAGAGGGACAGGTGTTTTTTATTTTGCAACAGGGTCTTAACTGTGTGACCCAGACTAGCCACAAATTCATGATCCTCCTGCCTCAGCATCTTGAGTGCTGGGATTATAGACATTTATCACCATACCTGACTAAAACATGGTTCTCATTATATCATTGCCTTGCTTAAGGGCATTTGATGGTATCCCACTTCTTTCAGGACATAGTTCAGAGCCA